GATAAAAATGAGCTTTCCTGTCTCAAATAATTTTGCCAAATAGGCTCTTGTCACATTCAGCAGCATCATCATCTTCTAACTCGACGATCTCCGATTGCGATAATGAATTTTTTTTGAGTTTATTACCCAATTCCTCCGAGAATCCCTCTACCGATCGGGTTCCCATTGGATAATAGGCTATGAGAGAGCAACCACGAACGAGAAACCCCTAAAAATGGGGCAAGAATAAAGAAAAGGGGAAACCTTGAACTCAATAAATGAAGAAGAACCCTAGAATCGGGAAAATGAGTCAAGAAGGAATCAAAAATCAAGAGCGAGGGGAAATGAAAAACTCCCAAGGAGTAATTGAAGATTGAAATGTAAGTCATGCGAGAGGAGAATCAAGAAACCCCATGGAGTAATTCCTAATGATAATAGGTTCGATGTGTTTCAAGATGCAAGAAATGCAATTACGGAATATTAAGTTCCATTTTGCAATTTAACTCGTGAATTTAATTAAGAAAATGTTGTCCCTTTTATTTTTTCTAAAACACATCTTCTATTGAGGACAACTATTTTTTTTTTCCAAACGATAAACTGTATAATAAACTCAAGCAAATGTTTCACCCTCGGGTGGTCAAACAATTGCTCTCCCAAACAGATTAAGAAATTAAATTCTATTTTAATATTTCAAATACGAAGATGATGGGTATTACCCTGTTGGGGTTTTTATTTTGTGTGTTTGTTTGTTATTACTTTGTTGGAGCTTTCTATTTTTGTGTTGGTTGTGTGCTAGTATTCTAGCATTGCTAGTTGGTATGCTGTCTAGGTTACATTGGTTGTGTGTGACCTCTCATTTTTCCGGCTTCGGGGCTCGTTATGTAATTTACCTTTTTGGCCTTTTTTATGAGTATATTTAAGTCGTTGGAAAAAAAAATACGAAGATGATGGCAATCTAGAAAAAAATTGCTATCTCTAATTTCAACGTTAGGTGTTTCAAAGGGAATACTTAATGACAATAATTAAATAGAATAAGCATATAATTAATATAACCCAGTCCAATATTAGGTTGGCAACATGACCCATTGTACATAGATTGATTTTCAAGTTGCTTGTGCCGTCAACTAAGAGCAGTCCAATGTGTCGCACATGGATTGCTTTCACGTTAATGCCAAAAAAATAATAATAATTATTAGAGGATGGATATTTTTTTTTTTTTCCTTTTTCCTTTTCATTTTCCTTTTTTAAAAAAAGAATTAAATGAATTATTTAAGGATGTATTTTTTTTTTCTTCTCATTTTTCCTTTTTGCGAAGTAGACGGATACTTTATTTATTTATTTTTTAACTTTATCCCCTCTCCTATATATTAAATCCAGAACACGCTGAGCTTATGTGGCTGTTTCTGGTATTTCGGAATCCTATATATCAACATTACATGCTTCGTTATTAGGCTTAGGTAAATTTTAATTTAATTCCAAACAAAAAATAATTAGGTTCGGATTATCATAAATATGTTGATTATTTATAGTCATGTTACATGTAGTAATTGCATTTTGATATCATTCCTTATTATAACTATTAAATTGTATATATACTTTAAAAGTTAATAACTTTTGTATTTTTTATCAGTTTTACATATATAATATATCAAATTAATCTTCTTTTGGTGAGCTTCGATTTAACATCCATATTGTATATATATAAAAATATTTTATATTTATCTATATAACAATAATAAAACTATTTTTAATATTAATTAGAAAAATAAAATTATTTATCAACTAATATATTTATATTTTAAGTAGTTATATGATATAAGTTATAAAAACTAATATAATATAACACATGTAAGTCATAAGTAACACATATCATTCTAAAATATATAGTAATATATTTTTTTTTTTGTAAAAAAGTAAACTAAATTTATTATAATTTTATCATTAATTTTAAAATTTAAGAATAATATTTAACAAGCACCCGTGTAATACACAGGTGTTGTACTAGTATGTATATAATACGAACAATAATAATTTACTAAAAATAATAGTAAAATAATTTAAAAAACATTTAATACATACTTTATCAATTTTTTTTTTAATATGTACTTAATTTCTTTCATATATATATGTTTTCAAATAAGATCAAATTAGATATGATCGAAAATATTATTTTCTTAAATAGTTTTATTAATATCTGCAATAATTTTATTGATATCCATTATAATTAATTACAAGATAGATTTTCTGTGATTCAGGTTGATAATATTTTGGTCAAGATAAATATTACAACATATTTTAAGTTGTAACCATAATATTTTTTTTTCAAAAATATTTACATTTTATCCAAATATATTTATAGAAAATCGTAACTTGTTATGTAGAATTTATTCTTCCAATTAATCAGGCGAAGTCGAGTTGGTGAATTGATCTTTGCCAATATAATTTTTTCTTAACTTTATTTCGTTATATGTAAAAATAAATTATTCTTCAAATTAATATAATTTAACATTTAAGAGATAATGACCAGATACATTAAATAGTTTTACTAATGACAAAAAATTAAAATTGAAATATGTTAACCGTTCTTTAGAATTTATTTGTATATTATTGGCAACCATGATTATTTTTTTCTATCTTTTTTTTTAAAAAAAATTTAATTTCTTTCTATAATGAGATTCTTGTAAAATATATTTTCATTGCAGAGTATGCTAAATAAACTTTAAATACTTATAATGAAAATTAGAAAAATCTTGATTATAGAAGAGATTGAGTTCTTTACATTTGCTAAACCCAAAGTTGTTTAATAAGTATACAAAATTAAATTCTAATGAAATATGTGTGTGTATTTTGCAAAATATTTATACACTATTTAATTTTAAATTGATTACATAAATAAATAACACTAACATGCATTAAATATTTTTCATTACATAAAATTAAAAGAAAAGGAAGATGTACAATTTCTAACTTTTAAAAATAATAATGACATTATATGAGAATAAAGTTGATAATAAAACAATAACTAAGTACTATATGGTGAACAAGAATAAGTCCCTGAAATTGCTTTCTCTCTCACTTCTCCGCTGAAAAATCCCTAGCTCTCTTCAGTCGCTTCTCCTTCATTCTCGTTGTTCCGCTTTCCTCGGCACCGGCGAAATTCGGGCCAGTTGTTGCCCTTGACCGCTTGGCCCGTCCCTGAGTAGATTGTTCCCAATTTCTCCGCAGGATTTCGATTGGGGGTCAGGCGCGTTGGGTTTATGGTGGTGCGCCCCTGTTTGGACACTACAAGAATTCTGAAAAAAAATGACAAAAAAATTTGTCATGAAAATGTGAGTTTTCGTCACCGAATATATTTGATGACGAATTTTGAGTGTCACAGAGTTTGTCACTGTAGTCGCGTCATATTAGGTCTAAATGACAATATTTCAATTTTGTCATATAATGTTTTGAATTTGTGACAAAAATAGTACTGTCATTGTACATTTGCGAGATTTGGTGACGATTGATGTGTCACATTTGTCATGAAATTTTTGTCACAAATTATGTATATTTGTCACTCAAAGTTAGCCTTTATATGACAAAAAATAGTATTGTCATTGTCCTTTGTGAGATTTGGTGACGATTGATTTGTCACATTTATCATGAAACTTTTGTCACAAAATTATCTATATTTGTCACTAAAAGTTAGCCTTTATATATATGACAAAAAATAGTATTGTCATTGTCTTTTGTGAGATTTGGTGACGATTGATTTGTCACATTTATCATGAAAATTTTGTCACAAACTTATTTATATTGTCACTAAAAGTTGGCCTTTATATGACGAGCATATATTGTTTCGTCGTCTTAAAATTCACATATAATGACAAAACAAGAGTTGTGCTATAGTTATAAAAAATTATTTGTCACCAATGAAATATTTATAATGACGAATGAAAATGTCACTTAAAATTATGTTTTAATGATTAAATAATCATTGTCACCAAATAAATAAATTAAAGGTGACGATATCTTTAGTTATAGAAAGATTGTATTAAATGACATTGTGTTTATCGTCACCAAATATATATAAAAATGTGACGATATATTTATACTAAATGTGACGATATTTATACTGTCACTTTAAAGAACTTTAGTGTGACAAAATATTAGTCATAAATAGGCCATTTTATGCCACAATATTTGACCATAATATTAGTCATAGTTTAGTGTGTCACGAAATATTGCTTTTATTAACAAATTGAAAATTATCATAAAAATACTATTGTAATTAGTCAGTAAATTAGATAATGACATAATATATTCGGTAAAATAAAAATAAATGATTATATTTAAAAGAATTATATAAAATATTCATAATTAAAACCAAAAACAATAGTACTTGAATATTAAGTGAAAAATACTAAATACACACTTAAGAAACAAATCTCCAAATCCATAGGCTTATTTTCTAGTTTTGCTGAAAAGTCTCAATTTATCCATCAACATCAAAGAGAACAATCACCTGTAAACATAAAACATATGAATCAGCACATATATTTACATTTATCAAAGCATATTTTCACAAATAAAAAACAAACCCCATTGTTTACATCCAATTGTTTACCTCAAGTATTTCCTTTGGAAGCCATGAATGCCTTAAACTTTTCAATATCTGCACCTTGTTGGCCCAATAAGTTCTTCATGCCACTAACTTCTTCCTTGAGCTCACTCACTTGTGATTCTGACGCTTTTAGTTTTTCTCGAGTTTCTTGAAGCTCTTTTTCCTTTTGAAGACTTTGGTTGGCTGGAGCAAAAATGCCTTTGTTTAACTGATTTGTCTGATAACCAAGTCCCTTCAGATAAGTAGATCTTGGACCAAGCACCTCGTGAACAATTTCTTGATTCGTCTTATGAGCTCCTTCTGCTATATATTTTTCTCGCCTCGATACCATCAACTCCTGATGGATTACAAATATATATCATGCCTATCTAAAAAATAACAATACCAATACCAATATGAAAGTGTGAATTACCCAATTTTATTTTGTCTCATTATTTGACCAACCATGTTCGTCATTGGAATGTGTGAGTTTGTAGAACTCAATTATGTCCCCAGCATCACCATTAGCATCTCCATTAGCATCTCCATTAGCATCCCCATTAGCAGCATTCTTCTGAGCCTAGTCAAGAATAAAAATAAAAATGAAATGTACAGGATATGAACCTATTAAAATATTATGATTATTTCTCCATGGCGTAATATGTAAATATTTTAAAACATAATTGCATGTTTGAAACTTACAATTTCATGTTGAAGTGTAGAAAATGGAGTTCTGCCAGATATATGCGGGGTCCTTAACATTTGTCGATTCATAGAGTTAATTGAACTTTGATGCTGAAAACAAGAAATTGCAACATAAGAAATATTCCCAAAACATTTCAATAAGAGTACCAATCTCTAGAGATTTTACCTTGAACTTAGCTGATGCAAAATAATCACAGAGTTCGTCCCAATTTTCTTTACTAGCACAAAATGGTGGGTTATTATTCTTAGCCTCTTGTAGGGTTGCATACTTCTTGTAATGCTTATGCAACCTGTGACGAACTTGTCGAGAACTAGATTTCATCCTATCAACCAAGCAGTGCCTCACA